AATAAAAACAAAAAAACTGCACACCCATGATGAATGCATATATAGAAAAGTCACAATTAAAGTGCATTAATAATTGTAGTAATAATTAAAATGGGAGGACTGATCCTAAAGGCAATTCAGAAATCTGCCTGCTGCTCCTGCTATATGCTCAGGTGAGGAGGTGTTTACCCTGCATTTCAAAGGGTGAGGGCAGAATGCCACTGTTCAGCGCCTTAGGGATAAAGCCAGAACACAGTCATGGGGTGACAAAGCCATGTTGGTGGGCCTGGGGGCACAGTCCTGGACCAGAAAGACTTAACTTCTGGGCTTTGAGATCTAATGAGATTTGTCCTGCTAGGGTTAGGCTTTGGGAACTATCATTCCTTTTTAGCTTTCTGTTTTGTTTTGGTTTTTTCTTGTGCCAGAGATCAAACTCTGGTCGTTGCACTTGTGAGGCAGGCACCAGAATCACTAGGCTAAATTCCCAGCCCCCTTATTACTTTCGGATTTTTCTCTTTTGGCATAGTTAGATCAATTCTGTGCCTGTGCCATCACTGAAGTTTGTTTGTGTTTTGGTACCGGGATCAAACTCTGGATCTTGTACTTATGAGGCAGGCAGTGGAACCACTGAGCTAAATCCCCAGCCGGATCACTGACGTTTGAAAGCATAGAATTGTTCTCATTTTATAGGTTTACAATCAGAAGAATTTCACCTCAGGGTTAATCATACCTTCAGTCTCACCTGTATCTGCTTTAGATGATACTTTAGAGTTGATACTCGAACAGATAGAGTTTGTGAACAGAAGGGATGAAATGCATCACATGCCCAAAGGAGTCAAAGAAAGCATGTTCCTGTCCTCCCTGAAGTTCCTTTCCTAGTTTTGGGCCCATGACACTACTTCCTTCTTGTTGAACCCTTTCCTTTTAAAAACACTTTCTCTGCTCCCCTTTTTGGACCTCTGTCTTGCCTCCTGTTAGTACACAGTCACCCTCAATCTCTTAGCTTATTTAATAAATCTTCTGTTTCCTCCCTTTGGCTTTGGTAAATTCTTTTACCACCCACATCACTGGCCCTCTGCGATGCTATTACATGACATTAAACATACATGAGAAAATGAAATCCTGTCTTATGTTTCATAGTTAAATCACTCTACAAGTTACACTACTGACAAAATTTAAAAACATCTAAGTATTTGAATTTCCAATATTAGAATTATTATATTGCACCAAATGTAAGTTAAAAATATCATACAAAATTAAAAGACAAGAATAGATTTTTTCTTTTCTTTTTTTTAAGAGAATTACATCTCACTCACAGGAGTAAAATGGGGGATTATTTATTTCATTGTTTAAATCAAACATTCCATGAGAGATTGCTTTCATAATTTCAAAGGCCTCACTGATCTATAGTTGGGGAAATAGGGAAGACATCTGATATAGCTAATCACATGCAAACATAATTTGCAAAAGCAGAATACTATAATAAAAAGTTGGTTGAGCACACAAATTTTACATCGTTAAAACTGAAAAAATGCCATTAAAATTGGACTACGGCAAACCTGGGACATCTTGACAATATCTACAAGCCTTCTCAATTTACCGACAGGAACAAAGGTCCAGAGGTGGTAAGCCACCCTTCCAAAGTCACTTAAGAAAGACACTTCATTTGCTATTTTAGAATAAATTGTCTTTCAAACGTTTTTTTAAAATGTATTATCATGCACTTTTTGTTCAGAATTTTCCTATAAAAGAGTTGTTCTGTAATTGCATCAATTACAATTTAGTCACTTATTTTTCCGGTGCAATGCTGACTTTTTAAAAAATACCCACCCATTGTATTGAATGGCTCTGCCAAATGTAAAAAGCAGAGATTCAAAAACATGGCACAAAAGTGCAATTCACAAATCACAATTTTAAAAAATTAAATATTCATGCCATATCAAAATAGCCACCTGTTAGTGCCAAACGCACACTGATATTTCACCATAGTTTAAAAGTATTTGCCAAAATATCTCCTCTCTCTCTTAAATCATTTGCACTCCCAAGATGCACTTGTTTCCTAATAGTAGTCTCAGTACAAGTTAAAGTAGTTACATTCATGAGGGTCACACTGATTATTCTTTTTTCAAGACTCTACGGAAACTTTTTGTATTTTGAGACAAGGTCTTGCTTTATAGTTCATGCTGGCCCTGAACTCATTTTGTAGCCCAGGCTAGCCTTGAACTCACAGTGATCCTCCTGCCTCAGCCTCCTGAGGACTGGGATTACAGGCATGTGCCACCACACAGGGCTGCCAGAATCTTGAGTGCCTAAAATGAGGTAGATAAACTTTTAAAAGTTTTGTTGTTGGGATTAATTTTCTTTCGATCTTGATCATCTATTTTTAATAAGATTCTAAAATACTTAGTAAAAGGTTGAAAATGTCTGATCATTTTGCCTAAAAATGGAAAAATATAATTTAAAAAGGTTATTATGAAAGTTGCTTTACCTCATTTCAATTTAAAAAGAATAAAATCATAAAATTACAAAACTACCACGCATCTTGAAGCTGACCACCCAATTTTAGAACATTTCAGAGACTCTGGCTCTGCTTCCGGCTTGGGAGTGTACAGGGAAAGAGACCCCTGGTTAACCTTTCTGGGCCCAGACCAGCTGCTGCCCTTTAACCTTTGACCCTAAATTTCAAGAGTCATCCAGAGTTCAGGCCCGATGCGGGTAGGGGGGGCGGGGTGGTGGTGTTGTCTTCATAGAAGCCTCTCACTGAGATGCAGAACCCCGCCTCTGGAGACAGGTCCAGTTTCAGAGGAGAGCTGGAGGAGCAAGCCCACCCGGGTAGAGGCTGCAGAGGAGAAAGCTGGGGACAAGATGGAGCTGCAGGTGTCACGCCCCAGCATCGGGCAGGCCCATTAGATCAGAGAAGCCATAACCCCAGGGTCCTTCAGGTTTTAAGGGACAGGCTGGGCATTAAACCAGCTAAAGACCCCGCAGCGGGTCGACGAGAGCTTTCTAGGAAGGCGGGTAGGCCACTGAGGACCTTGGCCTTCTTACGCAGAGCCACTGGGGAGGCGTCCAACAGCCTGCTGAAGGAACTCGACTTCTTCAGGTCGCGGCCCAAGTCCTGCAGCATCAGGTCGTCAGCCAGGACCCCCAGGAACGCGCTGGTGGTGGAGCTAAGGATGGTGGCGGCCACCTGCACCAGGTGCGGCACCGCGAGCCTACTGGCCCCACCGCTGGCAGCGTCTGGCTCTGTCACACCTCGCAGGCCTGGGTCGCCGAGGAGGCGGCGCAGCTCGTAGGAGACGCCGGGCAGCAGGTAC